ACAGTTACTTTTTTTATGGATTGCATGATTACATTTTATTCACACAATGGCGGTTAATTCTTCATAATTCAAATGTCTTTGCCAGGCATACTCATTAACATAAAACAGTTTAATATTGAAATAATTTAACAACACATTCACATGTTTACAGTCCTCTGAAATATCGGTTAACATTCACACTGACATGCAGGTAAACAAATGAAATATTTCTATTTTTAGTGTTCAAGCATTTCAATTATTTTTATGATTTAATTAATTATTAGATTTTCATCAACTCACAAACCCACTGCAGTGCAGTTCTTACACTAAGCATAGTTTGGGAAACCCTGGTGTAATGTCATGTTAAATGCATGTTAATATAAAAAACTATATATTTTCTTTCTCTTTGTGTTTTTAAATCAATATGGTATGTTAAATGGTCATTTTAAAACCAATAAACAAAAAGAATACATTACCTAAAATGAGTAACCTAAATTATGTTACTAACTACAGTTTTCATCCTGTAATCCGTAATTAGTAATAATTTGTAAGCAATCTACCCAGCACTGCATATTTTTACATCCACTGGCCAATTTATTAGGTACACATTGCTAGTACTGGCTTGGACCCCCTTTTGCCTTCAGAACTGCTTTTATTCTTTGTGAAACAGATTCAACAAGATGCTGCAAACATTACTTAGAGATTTTGGTCCATGCTGACATTATAGCATCACGCAGTTGGTGCAGATTTGTTGGCTGCACGTCCATGATGCGAATCCCCTTTCCACCACATCCCAAAAGTGCTCTATTGGATTGATTTCTAGTGACTGTGAAGGCCATTTGAGTATAGTAAACGCATTATGTTTTATAAACCAGTTTGGTATGATTTGAGCTTTATCCTGCTGGAATTAGCCATCACAAGATGGGTACATTGTGGTCATAAAGGAATGGGCACAGTCAGCAGCAATAGTCAGGTAGGCTGTGGCGTTGAAACGATGTTCAGTTGTTACTAAGGGGCCCAAAGTGTGACGAAAATATCCCCCACACCATTACACCACCAGCCTAAATCACTATTACAAATCAGGATGGATTCATGGTTTCATGTTGTTTATGTCAAATTCTGACCCTACCATTCAAATGTTGCAGCAGAAATCGAGACTCAACCTTTTTCCAATATTCTACTGCTGTAGCCTATTGTTTGACATGTTGTGTGTTGAGAGATGCTCTTCTGCATACCTCAGTTGGAACGAGTGGTTATTTGAGTTACTTAGGACCCTATGAAATCCGTTTTATTTTTTCCCAAATTCAGTCTAAATTATTCTGGGCTCCTTTTTAATGGGTAAATTAAATGTTATAAATCAAAAAGCATGCCTAATTAATTAAAATCATGAAACCTACACAATTTAACATTAATTTATTAAAAGTTTAACAAAAATAACATTTTTAGGGCACTATGAAATATGTTTTATTTTCTCACGTTTTGTTTTATTGTTACCAAAATTCTGTGTTTAAGCATGTCTAATTATTTGAATGCATAAAAACAACTTAATTTATTCAAATGTATTTTTACGCACTGTGAAAGTTTTTTTTCTCAGAAATTCTTTTGTTGTGTATTTTTAATTTTTAGGCATAAAATATTTAATTTATCTTTTAATCAAATGAAAGTTAAACTCATTATTTTTTGGCAAACAAAGGGGGTTTACCATTCAAATTAAAATGTGAGAAATATTGTGTGATTAGTCCTTGAAAAAAAGTTTCTACTGTACAATAGTAATATATTTCTGACAATTTCAAGTTAACCCAAACTTTTATTTTGACGGGTTGCCATGAGGACCTTTAAGTTTCTGTGTGTATAAGATAAATGATAGTTTTATTCAAATGAAACGGTAAAATGCTCGTGAAGTACTCTCAGAGCAGTTCTAGAGATTGTTCATGCACTTATGTCCTCATTTAATGAGACGCAGAAGCTGAAATCCCTGCGAGCGTCACACACGCTTCAGTATGTGTGTAGTAACGAAACTGCATCTGCACCATTCATTCAGAACATGCACGATTCATTTTTAAACAGTCTTTTTGCAGCTTAATATTAACAGACACTAGTCCATATCACGATTTGTTTTAAGTGTGCTGAACTACTCTTTTTTTTTTTTTTAGTTTTTAGGTTTTTTTAATGCCTTTAATGCGATAAATCAGTAGAGAGGTGAAAGGAAAGCATTATGCAGAGAGAGAGTAACGGGATCGGCAAAGGACCACAAGATGGGAATCGAACTCGGGTCGCCACAGTTGCACTATATGTTAGCGCACTTAACCACGAGGCTATCGGCACTAACAGTGTACTGAACTACTTATGATTAATTTCAATCATGACAACTCTCTGAACATTTTAGCATGGTGATGGATATGACAATGTTAATTTATTTGGTCTTGGTGGAACAGATCTGCTACGCTTCTGCTGAATTGCTGCTGCTGTTGGTTATTGCTGTAGTTGTAGATTATTGCTGCTGCTGCAAGCAAGTACAGGAACTTGCTACAGCCAATGCACATGGCGATACTGTGCCACGAGTATTTAAGACATACCGCTGCTGCACAAACAGCATATAAAATAACCCCGTAGCAGATCTATACAGGTGGAGCTGGGGAAGGTGGAGGGTTTCAGAAAACTCTGAAAGTGCGCTGCAGGAATCTCAAGTGAATGCTAGCCAGCCATGCAAGGCAGTATGCAGAGCAAATGCAAGGCAGTATGCTCATTGGCTGCATATGCAGCATGAACCAATCAGCTTGTGCCAAGTCGTTTAACTCTCTGAATATCATCAGTTACGTTAACACCCCGTCAGAATGCGCCATCTAGAGTTTCATGACTGAACTATATATTTATCCAAATTTTGACAAATTCCATGACATTCCACGTAATACAGTAAATTCCATATTTATGATTGGATTCCGTGATTCTGTCCGCGTTTTCTGCATCATGGAAATCACAGGGCCCTAGTTACTCTTGCCTTTCTATCAGCCCAAATCAGTCTGGCCACTCTCCTCTGACCTCTGGCATCAACGAGGCATTTTCACCCACAGATCTGCTTCTCATATCTTTTTCAGACCATTCTCTGTAAACCTTAGAGATGATTATGCGTGAAATTCCCAGTACATCAGCAGTTTCTGAAATTCTCAGATCAGCCCGTCTGGCATCAACATCTATCCCATGTTCAAAGTCAATTAAATCACCCTTCTTCCTCATTCTGATGCTTGGTCTGAACTTCAGCAGCTCTTCTTGACCATGTCTACATGCCTAAAAGCATTGATGTGCTTGGCTGATTAGATATTTGCATTAATGAGCACTTGTACAGGTGTACCTAATAAAGAGGTTGGTGAATGTGTATTAACTGAATGTTTTATGTAAACTGAAAAGAAATGCTTAGGGTTTGATTAACAACTCTGTTTTCTGTACCTGTCCCTAAGCTCGTATAGACAGTCAGTTATAAAACATCAGCGTTAAGACACCTTTAAGCAAGGACTATAATTAGTAAGCCATTTATTTAGAGACACCAGATATGGCGGTTAATGTCTTACTATTGTAACTAATGAACAAACATATCCATCTAATATGTCCCATATTAGAACCTAAATGTGTTATCTTTACATATTGATCCACACAATAACTTTAAAATCCAAAGAGATACAATAACTAAGTTACAAAACAGATATCAAAACATATCAACGAAACCACTGCATTGTTGCGTGAGACACTTACCTTCTCTTTGCAGCTAGACAGCATGCTAATAATGCTAAGACAAACAGACTGCACCGAAAGAGCTGGTGACCAGTCCTCCGTTAAGATGGACAGGCAGATGTGGCCATTGCTATAAACATGGGGATGGACGGGTATATTGTCTCCTGTGAACATTACCTGTCAAAACACAACATAAAGACATTTATTTTCAGCTGTTTCAGACAAATATAGTACACTAGATGACCATGTGTGCTTTCTTCAAGCTGCTCTTTTCCATACAATGAAAGGGAACATTCTGGAAGCTTATTTCCAAATAATTTATTTTAAGAAATAATAATACAATAAAATAAAATAAAAATGGAAATTGTGATTTTTTTTTTTTTACAATTCAGACTTTTTTTTCTCAGAATTGCAAGATATAAACTAAGGATTGCAATAAAAAATTAAGAATTGTGAGAACTGTGACAAGCTTGTTTTCACCAAAGGTAGCAAAAGGAAACCTTTTCTTTGGACTTCTCAGAATTGTGAGACATACATTTAGAATTGTGACACGTAAACTCACAATGATTTCACAATTCGATTTTCTCATGATTTTTTTTAACAAAATGAGATCGAATACATTAGACCGTAAATGAAAAGGTGTCCTTTTATTAGGCTATTGCTGCACGTTTCTTTGTAAAATGTAAATATTACAAAACCCCAAATCAAATAAGTTACACAAATAAAATAAATCTCTTCATATAAACAAACTAAAGGCCTGTACACACTGGGACGATTATCGAGCGCGATTATCGGCGACGTTTAACGCCTCGTAACTAATCAAAGGGTGCCAATGTGAGTGTGCACACAAAACGTCAGGCGTAAAAGCGTAATTTTTTTTAAAAACGCCTCGAGCTCTTTTTTTTTTTTTTGACGTGCAGCGTTAAAAACTTGCCGACCAATGAGATTGGCGCTTTTGTTCACGTGCCTGGAGCTACTGAAGTTACAGTAAAACACGACTTGGTGGCACTCAAGCACAAAACGGTCTTGCCGAGCACACAATTGATACCTAACGATGAAGAGGAAGTAAGTAGACCAAGAAGAAGCATCGAGGCAAGATGAATGTAGAGCTGCTGGTCTCATTGGTCTCTGAATACAAAGAGCTTTATGACAAACGCGACAGCGAAGTCCTACAAAAATCTCGATAAGAGGGAGTTGTTATGGAGAGGAATTGCAGACCAAATAGGATTCGATGTGTAGCGGGGCATTTCTGTTTTTCATTAAGCGCCATCTAATGTCAGGGAGTGAATCTGAATGTTCACTCGGCTCATCGCCAGTGAAAATCACTTGGGTATGAACCAGAGTCGATCCTCCCTATACGCAAAGTACACAAGCTGCGTAGGGCCCCCGAAACACCAGGGGGCCCCCTTGCTCTCAAAGATGATTTAATTTTAGTTTCGGTTTTTTAATTTGGCCAGCGGTTATGAAAACATGAATATTAATTTATTTTAAAGCGGTCACCCTTTCTACGTAAAAATCAGTCAAATCATGTAACGTCAATGTCATACAGTCTCTTGCTTGAGACAAAAAAAAAAAAAAAGAGTGGAAAGTGTACCGAGCCGCGGAAGAGACACTGTTTCTCAATCGCTTTCCGTGAGCACGATTCGAGATGGAGTGAAACACGGACAAATGCGTTTCATTCATTCATAACTCGTCAGCCCCCCCAACACAGTTTTGCGTAGGGCCCCCAGAAGTATAGGATCGGCTCTGGTATGAACACACAAGACACATCGAAATACGCTGGCGATAAGCGCGGGCGATAATCATCCCGGTGTGCACGAGGCATAAGGCTTTGTCTGTGCTCTTTCCATTTAGGTTAAAGTTAGAGGCAACCACTGCATTTTAATCATGATCCAAACAAAGATTCAGCATAAGCCCTACATGCAGCATGAGCAGTTTTTAATCTAAGGCTATGTTCATACTGTCAGTTTTTGGGATTGACAACCGCATTTTCTCTACAGGTGTGAGTCTCGAAATGTCCCGTTCACACAGCAGCTTACAGTGAACGTGCAACGGGAGTCAAGCCTGTATTCCTTACCAGTAACCATAGCAACAGTGACCAAAGTAAAATCAAAGATGGCGACATCCATAAAACTAAGTCTTATCACTTTCTGACACAACAAGAGTCCAATCGAGCTGTGAGTTCTTTGTCAAATCTTCATTAACCGACAGCAGCTTTTAAATTTGGGTGGAGAGCGGAGCATTTGAATCGAGAGCGTCTCCGGTGGAAAACTGACGGGATCTAAAACATTCAGATGACATGCAGCTAATTTCTCAGTCACTGCAAGTTACTGAAAACACGCACGTTTGTGCGGCAAAGAGGCTCTCTCTCGCGCTATATAATGTGACAGACAACAAGTTGTCCAGTCCTGTTCCGTTCACACAGCGCGTGTGTTCCGAGAATGCGTTTGTGAATCCTGAAAATTTACAGGTGTGAGTTTGTTACAGAATGTGGTTGTCACGCCCATAAATAACCGAACTGTGTGTGAACGTAACCGTATTAAGGACTCAAATACAGGACTGACAACCGTATTCTGCTGCTGTCTGAACGTGGCCTAAATTAGACAGTATAATTTCGAAATTTGAAGCAAAAACTGAATGGTTTGACTTTAGTTTTGTGAAACTATACTACATAAAACATATCTGAACGAAAACTTTTTCTCACTTTTTGCCAGCAGGTGGCGCTTGTGAACAGCAATGATAATAGTGTTTCCTGAGTTACCGCTGTAAACGAAGCAGAGCTGCGCTTATGAACACTACTTTCATATGCATCGTTCAGAGGCAAGGTGAAAATAAAATACCACAAACTTTTCTAAAGACAGTCAGTTCCCATCAGAGATACATTCATATAAACTCCTACTCCAATTGTTTCACAATTTGTTTGGCATCTCAACCGATTTGAATCGTCAAATATTTGAATCAATTTTCAACCGGCTCGCGGTTCATCGTTACATCCCTAATGAGAATTTAGACAAAATTATGAGAATTGAGACAAAGAAAAATTCAAAAAAAATTTCACAATTCAAAGTTTCTCTGAATTGCACGTTTATTTTTTTCTCAATTCTGTGCAATTGTTCAAAATTTTTCACAATTCTGAGAAAAAGTAAGGAATTGTGTTATAAAAGTTTTCCATTTCATGGTGGAAATGTGGTCAAGCTCAATTTTCCATGAAAAACAACTAAATTTTTGGCCTGTTCTAAACAAAACTATCATAAAATTCAAAGGACTTGAAATATATTCCATGAGTTGTATCAAAGTCCCTTTAAGACAAGTCATGTCACTCTTTGAAATGCCTCTCGGGCATGCAAAAGCAACTCCTATCTCTCTGAATGGGGAAACATCACATTCTACAAAACTGTTCACTAAGCTTACGATTAAATTTCATATTTGAAATCACCAAAGACATCTGATATCAACTGTATCATAAATGTTGTTTATTTTGCTCAAATAGCGTTATAAAAAGCTTATTATGTCTCAAAATGCTGACTGTTTCTATAGCAACCGGGACTTCTAACGGCAGCTGCAAAGCTGACTTTACAGATTAGCGATTGGCTCCTTCATTCAGAAGGCGGGGCTTCCTGCGATTGAGCGACCATATTGAGCGTTGCATTTTTCCCCATTCAAAACTATACGAGTGACACGTCTTGGGTATTCTATAGTCTTTGGTTTTATGGACTTATTTTAATGATCTTTTATAATGCTCTTTGACCTTTTTAGAGCTTGACATCTCCAGTCTCCACCCACTTTAATTTTATGGAAAAGAGCAACATTGACATTCTTCAAAACATCTTCTTTTGTGTTCCACAGAACAAAGGAAGTCACATGGATTTGGAACAACATGAGGGTGAGTAAATGATGACAGAACTTTAATTTTGGGGTGAACTATCCCTTTAAATCATAAGCCAGTGCTTAGTCCTCACAATTGGTATGAGGCCGCTAGATTAGGAGGTAGAGACAGAGACAGCCGGCTGAATGAGAAGCCAGCGCCAGATCCGGACTTACATAAGAAAAAGCATAGACCGCTCATGGTCAGACAGATAAAAATAGCCAGTGCTTCACTCCCGATTAAATGCACTTAATGTGCACAGACACTGCTAGGGCCACTTCAGCAACAAAAAAAGGTTATTTATCAGTCACCTTTAATCTCAAGTGCTGCCCCTCGCATTTAAAGCTCCTTTGACTAAGACTTACTATTGCTCCATTTACACTTTGTATCAGCTCTAAACCATCAACAGTATTTCTGTCACTTGCTGTGACATGGTTTTCAACTATAACAGTATCTATATACTCATGCTGCTCTTATCCCTAAAATCCTTAGTGGTGTGTGAGCTTGTTTATCTAATTTGGTCTTTACCGCTCTGCTATTTATAGTGGGACTGATATGTAAAATAAGATCAGAGCTAATCCCCTCATATGTGGCCATTGATTATGCAGTCTACAAGCTCAAAAAGCCCTTGTGTGGATCGATCCTATTATTTTACTGTTTAGGTGCAAAACAGATTTTAGTTGAGCCTTAAATGTTCATCTGGCTGCTACAAATGTACAATAAACGGTGTCCAGCAATTCACAGAGTTTCATTTTATGCAAATGGACAGCAATGCGATGTGGCAACTACCGAGAGCAGCACAGACCGCTGCAAACGTGATCTGCCACATGTGAGATACTGTAGTTGAGTACAAGTAAGATGGAGAAGTTAATGTTATCGTCAACAATCACACTTGTTTATATGATTCGTCTCTGCCTACGTACAGAGATATAATAAAATGATACATGGAAAACCATGTCAGAAAAAATTTTAATTGAAATAAATCAGCAATACAATAAAATATAAATTAAATGAAAAACAAACCAAACAAAAATGTTTGAAGTTGAAATGAAAATATTTTTTAAAATACTAACAGAAATTAAACAAAAACTAAAATATAAATAAATAAACTATTTAGAAATATTTTAACAACAAAAAATGAAAAATATACAAATCCAAGCAAAAAGCTTAATAAAAAATTAATAAGTATTAATAAAAGCTATAATAGTGTATAGATAATACTAAAATAAGACTGGGCAGAAATATTTTAAAAACTAATACAAATGACAAAAGAACATAATAAAATGACAAAACATTAAACAAACTAAAATGAAAACTGAAAATATAAAAATAAAAGCCAAAATATATATTAAAAAAACTAATAAATATTAATAAAAACTATAATAGTTAATAAATAATACTCAAATAACACTGGGCAGAAATTTGGCATTCTGAGCAAGTCAAAAAAAATTATATTGGCAATAAATATATATTCTAAAAACAATATAAAATAAATAAATAACATTTTTATTACAAAATATAGAGTTAATATGTAATATTTAGACTTACCTGAGGTGAGTCAAAGGGATACCGACCACTAAATTTAAAAAGAAGCTGAAATTTCTCCCCCTCATAAAGAGTACCAGAGGCTCCTTCCATATCCACAATCCATCTGTAAAAAGAAACAAAGACATCAATAACGAAGAATTTTGGTTGGGTAAACGGTCTCTTAAACTATGGAAATGTTGCATACATAATAGCAACAGCATAAACCACTGAGAAAAAAATTTAATTACTCTACTGCCAGCCAGCAGAGTGTTTCACTTCAGCCATTAAAGGCCCGGAGAAGAATTAAATGGGAGGAGAGAGACAGAAAGCAGCAAGATTGTGAGCAATAAAAGACAAGACTATAGCCATTAAGTATCCAGAACTAAACAGTAAAGAAAGCGGCGCTATGTCAGGGGTCAAACAGATGACAACATGGAGATGAAACATCTGGCATAAAATAAAGGTGCTTCAAAAGGTTCTTCAAGCGATGCCATAGAAGAACCATTTTTGGTTCCACAAAGAACCATTCAGTCAAAGGTTCTTTAAAGAACCATCTCTTTCTTACCTTTTTGTAATCTGAAGAACCTTCTTTCACCACAAAGAACCATTTGTGAAACAGAAAGGTTCTACAGATGTTAAAGGTTCTTTATGGAACCATTTAGACAAAAAGATTATTCTATGGCATTGTGAAGCACCTTTATTTTTAAGAGTGTAGAGGGCAACATAAATTCAGTTCGATTAATGAACTTCAATTTTTGGGAACAGAAATGCACTCTTTTATATAAAAAGGTAATTTCTCATGTCGACAATGTAGCCTAAAATAAAACTGAATTTGCTTATATAGCTAAACAATTGAAAATGCTTTACATCTTTAATTCCCCATCTCTAAAGTTATTACTATACATAATGTCTGACAATAATTTTAAATTATATCAACATTCAAAACAATGTCAAATCAGATAAATGAATCAAAAATATTAACAGCTGTAACCATATTTAATTCATTCATCACGTTAATGTGTTAATTTTGGCATTTCTAGTACAAACACACATTTTCATTTGGAATATCAATACTGTCAGACCATCTGCTAACAGCAAATTCTTGCAATATACCAGAGTCAGATAAAGTGCTAGCAACAATGTGATTTTCCTGCCACAGTATTATCATATCTCCAGCAGCCGTTTGTTCTCAGAAGAGAGAGAACATTCCAGAGATGGAGCGGAAATATTGCTGCGTCGTCAAAGGAGCTCACATTTCTGCCTTTTAGTTTGTATTACACTACCGGTCATGATTTTTAATAGTGTTATAAGAACATACATATATATATATATATATATATAAAATCAAATATTGTATTGTTAAATATTATTAAAATGTAAAAGAACTGTGTTCTATTTTAATAGTTTTAAAATTACATTTATTCCTGTTTTCACAAAAGTGAATTTTCAGCATCATTACTCCCGTCTTCAGTGTCACATGATCCTTCAGAAATCATTCTAATATGCTGATTTAATGCTCAAGAAACATTTATTATTACTACCAATGTTAAAAACAGTTGTGCTGCTTTTTTTTATTATTTTTGTGGAAACTGTGATTCATTTTATTTTTCAGGATTGTTTGATGAATAAAAAAATATGGAAACTACTATAGTGATACACCACCATTCAAAAATTTGGGGTAAGTAAGTTTTGAAAAAACTAATCATTTTTATTAATTTTTTTACTTTTCGATAGAATTTCAAATAAATCCCGTTTTAAATGTTCTATTCGGCAAAGAAAAAAAATGTATCATGATTTCCACCCAAACAGCATATTAGAATGATTTCTGTGACACTGAAGCTTGGAGACAAGAATAAATTAAAATAAATGTTAATATATTAAAATAGAAAACAGTTATTTTAAACTGAAATATTATTTCACAATATTACTGTTTTATTGTATCTTTAATTTAAAAAATAATTAAATACATGCATAAATATATAATAAAAAAGCATCTATTGTGAACATAAGAAAAAAAACACAAAAATATGAATTATTCCAAACTTATGACCTGTAGTATATTACTTCACGTGAGTGGAGACACTAAGAGAAAGCCTAGAGTAATAGTTCATATTTAGGTTAAACCTAAACCACCGCCCTCCTATCTAACATATCTGACTAATCTCCTTCAAAAAAACTTGATGGACTACAACGAACACAAAGACCATTTAGTTCCGGACAAACACGTCTGGCAAGCTGCTAAACTGGTAACACATAACTGCCATTTCTTTGACAAAATATGTACCAAGACAAGGCTACAAAGCTGCTCCTGAATATAAATAGTAAACTAAGTTACATGGTGTTCCCACAATACCAACCAGAGTTACATAAAATAAATGTTATTTTTATAACGCTTGGCTGTCAAAGTTTAGCTCTCTGAAACCGAGTAAATATATCAATCATTTATTTTCATTACTTCTACACAGAAAGACATAAACATGTGTAAAGACAGCTCTTTTGCAATTTCTGAGATAACTCCACACACCACTGAGCACAAGATTGGGTATACGCAGATTCAGTTAGGCAATGCTTTTGTGGAGCAATGTGATGGAACTTTTTTGCCTTGTGACAGCTTTTTCCCATAAAAGACTGCTAGATATTTCCAGAAATGGATACAAACACAAATGCACAGGCCAAAAAGAGGTCAGCCAGGTTTGTTACGGAAATACTACCCTCTCGAGCTGACAACTTTAATTTTTTATTAGTCTGAGCAGACATTCTATACATCGGGCAGAGCAGCCTTACAAATGACACCAAATGGGAAAAGTTTTTAAATTGATAACATTTAAAAACAGTTTACATAGGCAAGCAGACGAGGCCGGAATATGAACGCAATCTGCTTAATGGTTCAGTGTTTTCCTTATAATGGTTTTCTATGGGAAACTATTTAATGTGACACTTTGCACATTGTGTTTATATTCTGGGTTCATCTACTTGTCTGTACAAAATATACATCATAAATAAGGTGTTTACTGAATTTCGCCTTTTAATATCTGCATTTTACTACTTTATAACTTAATGCAATCAGCGTAATAATAACTGGCAGTCAGTGGAGCAAAGCTTAGTTTCGCCCGCCAGGTGGGTGTTCCTATAACGCCCCATTCACACGGGGCGTTGGCATCAATGCCTCTCGTTTACTTTGAATGGAGTGACGTCAAGCGTTGCCGAAATGAATTGTGGGTCCGTCGTGTCGCGCTGGGTCCGTTGCTTGCGGCAGAAGTTGAAAACTTTTCAACTTTTCAAGCTCCAACGCAGGCGTCAGCCAATCAGATCGCCTTATGCAAATACCCTGGTGCAGACGCTAGCCAATCGCGTTAATGCAACATCAGAAAACGAATGTGATTGGCTATTGTCACTATGACGGTCGCGTCAGCACCAAGCTTCAGAAACGCCCTCCATCAAGCGTCGACGCCGACGCCCCGTGTGAATGTACCGTAAGGGTGTGACGTCACGTGAAAACTATCAATAACGATAAAGATCCAATGATAAGAGATTTGTTTTTTTTAATCTCGTTAAATCATTTCCTCTTTCTCAAATCGAGCCAATCTCAGATGCCAGTCTGTGTGACATCACACAGACAGGCCCCTCCCACGATTCTTTGATTGACAGTAGTGTTTCAGCATAGACTGCACTGGTGTCTTACCTTAAGCCTCGTTCAGACTGTCAGCCCAAATCTGATTTTGTGCATATCCGGATGGAATCTGATTTGAATAACTGACTGTCCACAAAGTGTATCGCAACTGTTCATATCCGATTTGTGCGTGCATAAGTGCTCTTTCGTTTTACTGAATGTGCGCTGGTTACTATGGCAATGCCGTTGCGTTGTTATGCCTACACTAAAAACAACAATAACAGCAATACAGTTTGCAATACAGATATTGTCTTACGACATGACAACATGTTGCCGTCGCGCTGGATTATTAGTATTATTATGGATTTCGTTTTATGAGGCAGCATCAGAAACGCAGGAAGCTGGAATGTGCGACTTTATTCCATGCTGCCATCTCCACTGGTTTCAACACTCAAAGAGTTGAGTATACAAGCAGTATATTTTCTTTTTCTACTTGACTTTGACAGTTCGCAACAACACATGCTTGTTTCTGCAAAGACATTTATTATGTTTTCTACAAAAATGTCTGACGTGTTTACATTTTACGTGGCGTGAGAACTTGAAAAAGCTACGCTAAATCCGATCTGAGCGGTCAGACTGAAACGGATTTCCAGGAATGCGATTTGAATAGGATTCCAAACCGCATACGAATGTAGCTCGAAAACGGATTTGCACAAATCGGATTTCATGTAGTTCGTTGCCATTCAGACTATCTAAATATGATCAGATTTCAATCGGATTTGCACAAAAATCGGATTTGGGCTGACAGTCTGAACAAGGCTTTAGACCCGCTCTGAGTGAGCTGTCATCAGTCCGCCATTGTTTCACCGCCGGAGCAGATGTAGACAAGAATGACTCCTAAGCCATTGAAGTGTTTTGGTGTTGGATGTAATAAAACGCCCACAATGGGCGAGAGTTTTCCAGGTTTAACCTGACAACAATGAATAACACGTAATAATAAGTAAAAAAAAAACAATGAGTCAGTGTGCTTTAACATGTTTCCCCTGTGATAGTCCCTGATACAGGATGGCCTGAGAAAGCTAGCCTGTTAATAAGTACACCGTGATCACACACACGGGTATAAGATTAAACGAAGAGTCGGGAAATGACGGTCTTACTGTGTGATGGTGTTCTGTACGCTCTTCTCATTTAGGGTCATTCCAGGAGGCGGATCATTCTGCAAGGCTAGCAGTTCCTTCTGTAACCTTTTCTGTTGAGAGACAGACAAAGTATTAAACAAAGAAAAGAAAAGATTGTGTACGATTTTATATTTAGTGTGTGTACAGATAGATAGATAGATAGATAGATAGATAGATAGATAGATAGATACTAAACAGCAATTTAATGTTCTAATATTAGGAAGAAGAAAAAAAGATGCACTGTTAAATTATAATTTTTCCAATAATAATAAATAAACAATACCTAATTAAATAATATATAAATGAAAAGATCTTTAATATGCAGTTGGATTTTGACCCAGTCTCATTGGTATTGGGTATACCTAATAAATGCATTGTTTCATTTGCTAACAAGAAATTGTATAATATTCTCACCTTTGCTGCCAGAAAAAATATTTTACTTAATTGGATTAGTGATAAATCTCCATCACTTAAAGGTTGGCATATGATAATTTTTGAATTGATTCCCCTGGAGCGTCTTACCTATGTATTACATCAAAAAACAGGCCTGTTTTATAAAGTCTGGACTCCATATCTGGACTATATGGAACCTCATCTTCGCCCTATTATACTACAAGGAATATTGTAATTGTGTAACTGTCTGGACATTTAACTTTTCTGCCCTATTCATTTTTTTTTTTATTAATTTTCTTTAATCTGTTATATATGAGGTAGTCCTGTTTGATTTAATAATCTGAGCTATGTGTGTGTGTGTGTTTTTTTTTTTTTTTGGTTTGTTTCTTTCTTTTGGGCTATGCCTTGTTATTTTTGTATTACAGTGAAAATTCAATAAAAAAAATTATAAAAAAAAAATATAAATAATAAATAACATCCAAGTAAAGTAAGCATTTAGTTTTAGACATATATATATATATATATATATATATATATATATATATATATGTGTGTGTGTGTGTGTGTGTGTAAAAACCACTTAATGTAAAGAATATAGCACGATAAGTCAGAATTAGTACTTTTGAATCACTTCAAATTTAAGTCGTATGAGATACATCCAAGAATTGAAATTCAGTACAGTATTCAAAATACTGTTATTACTTACATATTTAAATCTTTATACATTCTCTGACTATTATTCATTTGAATATTTATACTACTAAGAGCTGTGTGGCAACAAGTATAGCCTATATTTTGTCATTTCTAATAATCTTACTCAACACAAAACAGTGACTTATATATTCAGTCAATTAACTTCACATTTCCTATCAAATGTCACAAATAACCTTGCAAAGCTGGATAAAAATAAGTAAACATGCTGGTATCATGATTTCAAGCTATTCACATAGCAAACTCGTGATACTTCTAGTAATAACACGTTAATTCTGCTCATTCCGTTGCCTGTGTTTGCGGTAAATCAGTAGTGTATGAGTCCTGCTCGCCAGCTGTTGCTTTTAAAGCACCGATCATTCTCACCCTGACAGTTCACGAGCAGCAAGGAGGACAAGTTATGATTTCAGAAATAACACAGCAATGTTCGATCCCTTAATTAGGCGTATCCAAAAAAAAACCCACCATGTACACTATCAGAGACGAGCCACTCGACACCTGATGAAGGAGTGATTGATAGATTAAACCGAGCTAGATGTCAGCTGTGCTCTTACCTGCATCGACGCCATGATGGATCCCCCTGCATCAGTGGCGCACAGTTACGCAGCGCGACTGACCTCACCGTCACGTGACACACGAGCGCTTCTGTCGTCTGAGAACGCGCTCACTTTTTCAAATTAATTAATACTAGTTAACTGTTAATTAATCAAAGTTATAATAACTAATAAATATATGTTCCTTTTAATAAATATAAGTGTCATTTCATGATGTTGTTAGAACGACTTAAAAAAATTAATTCAGGTGAAAAATGTATAGTTTGTTTGTTTATTTATTTATGTATTTAGCTGTTTGTTTACATTATAATAATTAATAAATATTTGTAATAAATATAAATGTCTATTAATTCATCATTCTGTCACAAAACAGAAAGTCACATTTGGGATGACTTTCAACCTTTTTTTTTTTCCGAGTGAAGTATCCTTTTAAACGATTAACTTTAAATTATTATTATTATGAATCATTATAATAACTAACGCATATGTATTTTTTGTATAAATATAAATATATATGAATTCATTATTCTGTCACAGAGGAAAGAAAAGGTTTGGAACTTTTTTGGAGGGGGGGGGGGGCATAAACAATCCTTTATAATTATTAATCAATAATTATTATTAATAGTAGTTATAATTAATACATATATGTTCTTTTTAATAAATGCCTATTGATGTATTATTTTATTACAGATGACAAAAGTTCAATGGGTTTATAACAACTTCAAGATACAGATTTTTTTTCAGGTGAACAATCTTCCTTCTTAATTATTTAATAACTATTATTAATAATAGTTATAATAATCACTCAATATATATATATATATATATATATATATATATATGAGTGGCGAGCGGTGGTGTTTTAAAATGAGGAGTTTTATATATTTATATATAAATATTACATAAAAAAAGAGATCAAATATAATTCTATTTTGTATTTTATTAATGTTATTTATATTTTATTTTATATTTTTAATACTAATTATACATTTCATAGTGTTTTTATGCATTTTTATATTTATTCCAAAATAATAACTAAAGGTAGTAACAATTTGAACAATAGTTTGGAAACAGTTTACAATAAGGTTTCATTAGTTAACATTAGTAAACATATATATACAGTATATATTTTGAAAATATGTACATGTATTTATGTCTATATTTATATTCATATAATTTATATTATAAATATATTTTCTCATAGAAGCACACTGTCACGATCACAACAGTAAATGTCAGATTTTACACACATCATTTTGAAATCGATAAATCACATTATCTCATCTTCTCTAAGTATATCTATTAATCCTACAATCAAATCTATATTGTGGATAATAAATGTACAACTGTCACACTTACCGCGAATTAAAACAACAAAACAAGTTTCTTGAGGAACACAGACAGTACAACTGAGTACTTCCGGTTCAAAAATGTGGCTCATAATTAAATGTCCCCGCTCTAGATATGTATCTAACATCCAACCAACACTTTTCATTTGTACATTACACACCAAGGTTGAAGAAGCTCAGAAAAGTGCAAACACTCACTGATTGGCGATTTAATTAGTAGGCTATGTATGTAAGTTGAGGAACTCGAAGACAATTAAAAAACACAAAGTATTAAATATACATAAACCTTTATATAAAAGCAACATATTTACGATATTTACATTATAGGATGTTGTTAATTATACGTACATCTAGTAGCCTATAACAAAACTGTCCAGCAGATGCTGCAAATTGTCCCTGTTAGAAACAGAACGAGAAACTTATATTTCTATAAATATAATGTGATACACAATTTAGATATGGTTTCTCCTATCACACTATTACTTGTTTACAGAATTGCGACCACTCTTTCAAACTCTTACATCTTTATTTGCTGACGACTCTGCGAAACGAAGCTCTCATTTGCATCATGTTTACACTTTGTTGGTCATGAAACACTAGTAAGTGTAGAACAGGGGAAGAAGTACGAAGGGTTGCACGCAAAATGGATGTATTTATGTATTTTTGCACCGAGTATGGGGGTATAAGTACATGTTTTTTTTTCATACGTAGATTTTCAGATTTGCACTGCCACCTTGAATGTAAGTTTTTCTGGTTTTCTGGTTGTGTCATCAATGCTAGGGCCAAAAGATTATTATTAATTTACTACAAAAACAAACAAACAAGCAAGCAAGTAAGTCAATTAGATGACAGTCGACTTACTTGCTTGTTTGTTTTTTGGCCCTATATTAGTATAATAATACTAATACTAATAATAATAACAAAAATAATAATAATTTTATGATACCTAAACTGCAATGACGTCACAGCAGTATAATGTTACCTATGTGTCGGGATAGAGGTGGGAGAATGGGTGATTTAGTCTGTAAACCTATTTGCTGATCCACACTCCGGAGCAGAAGGTGGCGGTAATGCACCAATACGCTGGATGCCAACCGCCGTAAAAATATAAGAAGAAGATTTGTGTTTGCTCCGTGGCAGAGCGTCTGTGTGTCACGTGACCAGAGGAAGGCGAGTCTCGAGACCGTAAACAACATGGCGCGTCACGAACCTGGAGAATCTTAAACCCTCCTCGGGGAGATAGAAGCTTTTAGCATACTGAACTCCCACGTTTACAAACTTAATTTTTGATAACACTGTTTTGTGGTTATTTGCCGAGGTCTGCAGGAAGAAGCCAACGGAGCAAAAGAGCTGTCAAAGCGCTGTTACCATTTAACTGGTAGGTGTCTCTCTTTTGTAGGTCGCTTACAGCCTGCTAGCTTGAGCGCTAACATATAAACAAAGGGTTGTTTTGGCTGTGTATTTAACGTGATCATTAGGCTTTTATGTATTTTGATATTTTAAGCTCTTAGTTTGAAAATATTAAACTATTATAAGAAGTGTTCGTCTCATGACATTTGCTCTTTTTGATTCTATAATGTCATTTTAGCACGCTCGTCTGTCAGTTACATCACAGCCTTTTGTCAGCTGTATTTTTATCACCATTAATGTAATAATTCAAATCACCATTTTAACATCATCATTTCTCAAGACAAGCAAACATTGGGATGTTAATAACACTGACAGACCACACAATTAGTGCACTACATCAGCGTTAATTTGAGCGTAATACACATGTCCATCACAAATTTATGATCAGAGAAGTGTATTTCTTATTATTTGGGTGTACAGTGGGTACGGAAAGTATTCAGACCCCCTTAAATTTTTCACTCTTTGTTATATTGGACTCAAATGAAGGTGTAGAACCATCTCAAGGATGATCAGAAGAAATGGATAGCAGCATATGGGTCTGGGATGTCACAGCAAAGGGTCTGAATACTTAGGACCATGTGATATTTCAGTTTTTCTTTTTTAATAAATCTGCAAAAATGTCAACAATTCTGTGTTTTTCTGTCAATATGGGGTGCTGTGTGTATAGTAATGAGGAAAAAAAATAACTTAAATGATTTTAGCAAATGGCTGCAATATAACAAAGAGAGAAAAATTTAAGGGGGTCTGAATACTTTCCGTACCCACTGTATGTCCTATTATTTACAGTATTACTAAAACTGGAGTCAAATGTCTTTAATATTAACCTAGAATTGTTTATAACTTGCTCTTTAAAGTAATAATAATACTTTTCTCTGTTTAGTATTTCTCAAACATGTTAAAATGCACACAAAGCCTTAATAAAGTCCTGTAGTGAAAATGTGTAAATCTTTTAAAAAAATAAATCAATTCATGTTTCTATTCAGCAATGCATTAAATTGATCAAAAGTTGGCAATATTGCCATAAATTCGCAATAAAGACATTTATAATGTTACAAAAGGTTTCTATTTCAAATAAATTCTGCTTTTTAAAACTTGCTAGTCACCAAAGTATCCTGAAAAAATGTTTTAGTTTACACCAAATTTTTGATTTTTAATATTGATAATAAGAAGTCAAAACAAGATAAGCATATTTTTGAAAGATCATAGGACAAATGGGCTGCTGAATATTCAGTCATCACAGGTATATTATTTGGGTGTTTGTCATATTTTTGACCTAATTACTAATAGATGGTGTTCAATGTCTTTAAAAAAATGTTAGCATTATTTATAATATATCTTACTTTTTTAGAATCACATGAATGTGATTGCTTGTATTGCTAATTTCTGAATAAATTATTTGGCAGACAACCAGTCTATGGGCTCTCAGTCCAGTTCTGGGATGTCCGGTCGGGGCTCTGGCAGCAACCCAGACCAGTCGGAACCAGAACCCAACCAGAATTCCAATCAGACGGGTCGCACACAGGCCGAGAGGCAGTCAGGATCTGAAGAGGACGTTGATTTGGCACAAGTTCTGGCGTACCTACTGCGAAGGTAATTACAGTATATGCATAACCTACAAAACATTTATTTGTCGATGCCTTTGTCTGGGCTGCATTTTAAACATGTTTTGGAACTCTGCCGCTTCCTCTTTTGTCATATGGGTATTGAAAAGTATTCTTCCCTTTTCTCTATTATAGGGGCCAGGTCCGCCTGGTCCATGGAAGTGGAGCGACGGGCCTACAGCTCGTGCAGTCATATTCAGACTCCGATGAGGACAGCGATGGGGCCTGGGATGGGCGGCTAGGACATCGATATGACCCTCCAGGTGAGAATTATGGACTGTATGACATCAGTTTCAGTCTATAAACGTGAGCAATGGTGCCATAAATACCACTTAATTAAACACAATTCTGTGGTCATTTACTATGCCTTATTTTTTCTCACTCAGTGGATGCCCAACCAGACACGCAGGAAATTGACCGCAGTGAGATCCGCACTCAGATCCTGCTTGCCACTGCTTCCTCAGGCCTAAAGGGCAGGCACAGTTTCACACATATGCTAGCAGAGGTAAGATGAGCAGGGCATATATAGTAACAATACAATAAGTCTGTATGAGCAGCTCAGCTGTTTTACTTTGCAGCTCTTCTGATTTGAAATTAAGAATCAGGAAATCTTTATACAGCCAAATAGAGTAGCGTAGAGTTCACAAATGTGCAACTTTCTATAATTTAACTGTGTATTTCTTTCTGAAGCGGGAACATGGACGATGTCGTGGGTCGAGT